TATATATATATATAATGCATTATAGAAGTTGATTTCAATTTTGGATGTTTGTATTTGATTGACTAAGTAATTTTGTGATATATAGATGAATAAAAATTAAAATTATTTATAATATGAAGCGCTGCGATTTGAGTGGCACCCAAAATATGTATAAAGCAAACAATCAAGAAGGGTTGTGCGAACCAAATAGAACTCTTAACATAAATATTCGTCCAACCTGAATAATAAATTGATCAAGGGTCTGTTTGGGGCAGCTGTAGATGTTTAAAGACAATCAGTTGTGAAGCTACTGAAGAAGAAGCTACAGTGCCTATTACAAAAAAAAAAAAAAAAAAGATGTCAGACCACAGCTTTCTAGCAGCCACCGTAGGTAGCCAGACCTAGTGAGATTAAAAATTTAAGCAAATGCAGGCAAAATGAAGCTTTCAAAGTTTGAAAGCATGAAGCCTCTTGAGCAAATGCAGGCAAAATGAATTTTTGCCAAACAGGAAAAAACTATGATGAGGCACCACACTGCCACCGCACCGCCGCCCCAAACACACCCTGTTTGTTGAACGGACTCACCGAACTAGCCGAATGGATGACTTCTCTCAAGCAAAAAGCGAGTGGTGTTTGTTAATTAGACATCTTTTCAGTTCTTTTGTTTAGCAGTCAACACTAATTTATCGACTCGACAATGAAAATTAGCAGCACTTCAGTTTGGCATGTGCTAAACAATACTGTGATATTGATGATGACTTTCTCCCCTGAGAGTTATGGAACTATTAGTCATATTACATGAATGTATATTTCTTTTTTTTTATTTTTTCTATGCAACTTGTTGTGTAACCAATTGAGTATTCACTTAAACTTATAAATAGGAGTTTAAACAATCTAAATTATATAAACGCTTCTCAATTGAGTAAAATCTTAGAGCTTCCTCTCTTTCCTTTTATTTTTTCTTCTTCTCTATCCTATTGGTCTCTTTAGAAGCTTTTTAGAATGTGTGGTGTGAGTTCATGGACTATTCATGACTCAACAAACAAAGATCAGCTTTTTATATTGTTTGTAGATATATATTTTTAAAATTTTTATCATTTTAATATTATATAATTATAATGAAAAATTAAAATTTGAATTTTTTATTGTGAGCATTTGGAGAGATTAGTAGGCTCATATTTTATATTGATTTATGATTATATTAAATCAAATAACAAAATGTTATTTATGTACTAGATGGCGCAAAGAAACAGTCAATATGTCAACCTAGTGTTAGGTTTGTCCTCTTATCCTCCATAGTTTATGAGATCTTATTAGATCAAACAAGACATTCTTGATTACTGATAAAAAAATCTTTATGATCTGGTTAGATCAAATACTTATTACTAAGTAGGTTCTCTAATGACTAATTGTTAATGGGCATTAGCTCAAGAGGCTTCATGCTTCCAAACTTCGGAAGTGCATTTTTTAAAGTTTGAATATGGTTAGATCTATAGTTTTAAGAATCATGTTAGACTGCTAGATCCGATCAGTTTCACTGAACCAAACCTTTAGTAAATTTGATCCAAATCTAAAACTGCTATCACATACTAACAAAAATATATGATTGAATTGATAAATTGGTCTGATTTTTTAGGAATCGGCTTATTTTAATATTAAATATTTTTTTTTTTACATTTTTATTATTGATGGATGTCTAGAAATAAAAGATTTGGATTAAAAATAGATAAAATAATAAAAATATCATGTTCTAAGATCTAAATTTAGAATCATATTTAAAATATTCAAGAGTAAACTGTCCATATTGTATACCAATGAATAGGAAAAAATATATTATTGCATCATTATTGTATCATTTAAATCATTTAAATTTAATTTTAATACTTTATGACATCTAACTCAATCCCAGTTGAACTATTGAACCTTAAATATGTCATTCAATTGATTTGAATGTATAATTTGACTCTTAAAACCTAGGTTATATATCTATTTCAAGTTGCATACATACAATGTGATTTATCTAATTATTTCTTTTGTAGAGTTCATGTATTGGTGGAACAAGGAGGTGGCTTGGGGAATATTTATCATTCTTAAATTTTGGCTAAACTCTTTAATATAAAAAATATTTGGCAATTTTGATTTTCTATTTCTTAATTCATCTCCTTAACTAGTGATCATGTTATTATGCTAGTATAAGTAACCATCTTTATCTCTATTTATAATTAATAAAAATTTTTGTAATATTTTTTTTTCTTTAACAAACTAAAATGAATGACTTTATTTCTTTCATCTTGTTATTTAAAAATTAGTCACATAGACTAAACATTAGGTGCACACTTTGGGGACACATTTTCTATAAATCTGATATTCACAGCAATAAACTTAAATTTGTCAAGGTTTTTTTTAAATAATATAGAATGAATTGCTCAAGAAAAGCTCTTTAATTTGCATTTCCTTATGACATTACTGTTTAAGGAATCAATTGTTTTACAAGATGAGTCAAACTTCTAAAGTAAATGCAAAGATGGCTAAACTCTCCAAGTATAAGACCAACAAAAATATTACATTTTGAAAAAAAAGTTATTGTGTCAGAACATGGTCAGAAAAGTAAACACATGAGTATGTACAAATAGTGAAGCTTCAATCCTCATATTAGAAGAATGAGTTTTAGAGGGAAAAAAAAGGTTACCAATGAGACTATTTGCTATGAGACTACACTCAATACTCTCTTCTTCCTATTCTTTTTCAAAGGAGCTCCCTAATCAATTTTCACCTCAAAATCCAAACGTATGCTTAGGGCTCTCAAGAATGTTCATTGTTCGCAAACATTTGAGAAAATTGATAGAGCAGTTTGGCCGTTTGGTTAGAGTTCTCAAGACATTTCTCAAATATCTGCAAAAAAGTTATAGTACGCCGCTAATTCACTCAACCTCATCCCACTGCAGCCGTTGTTGCCACCCGCAGCTCGCCACTCCCGCTGTCGCCATTTGCCGCCCTTTGTCTAAGTAAATACTTTATTTTCAATTTATTTCAAATCAAACAAATATATATATATATAT